CACACTGTCATACGAAATGGATGTGTATTCTTGACAAAAAAGGCCAATCAGCTAAGCGCAGCTCAGGGAAACTCATTTTCCACAATACTGAACTATTGTAGTAACAGTGCTTCTTAAATACAAGCAATGATTGAATGCTTCACGTTTCACACTTATTAGAACCTAACATTAAACTACTTTTTCTTTTCTTAAAAAAAACACACAGATTACAGCCATTTGACCTAATTTTCAAGTAAGCTGAACAGAGCAGATGTGAATACAAACTACATGCCTTTCTACAGTAAGGCAAATTGTACTCCCAGCCCATATGTTTAACATGAACTGGCTGACTGATGGGGGGGGCGCAAAAGACTGAAAATGAAACAGAATGAGAACTTTCTGATGAGACACTGAATTTAACAAATACACTAAATCCTTCTCATGTATTAATTCCTACCTCTTTCGACTTTAAAGTTTTGTAAGTAGAAGTCTTATGGTAGACTTGTCATGAATTTTAAAATTTAATTTTAAGAGAAGCTGGTTTTGGGATAAAGATCAATCTTCCTGATGAAATGAACTAAATTTAGAGTATGACTAACCTGTCACAAAAAGTCTGTTTTTCTATATTAAAGTCCTTTCAACACATTAAACTACAGATACCATTAATAAAATAACATAAAAACTGCAGTCAAATCTCACGCCTAGAAGATAACAGGATAAAATCCAGATGGCTCTGGGTGTGATGATGACGTCAGAGACAGCACTACCGAACACACGACCCATAAGAGAAATCACTGATGACTGGGAACTTCATCAAAATTAAAAACTGCTCTGTGAAACATAACCTTAAGAGAATGAAGAGACAAGCCACAGAAGAGAAAATATTTGGTAAAGACATACCTGATAAAGGACCGTAATCCAAAATGCACAAAGGACTCTTAAAACCCAACAGTAAGGAGAAAAGCAACCCACTTAAAAAGTGGGGCAGAAAGTCCAGACAGCGCACCAATTAAGATATACAGATGGCAAACAAGCAAAATAAAAAGATTCTCATCATAGGTCATCAGGGAAATGCAAATTAAACAGTGAGACACCACTACATCCCTATGTGGTGCCCAGCATCTGGACACTGACAACGCGAAGTGCTAGCCAGGGCAGGAAGCAACAGGAACTCTCATGCACTACTGGTGGGCACCCACAATGGCACAGCCACTTTGGAGACAGTCTGCTTTCTTACAAAACTAAACATACTCCTACCCCCTGTGCTCCAGGAAGCACTCTCCTTGGTATTTATCCAAGTGAGTTAAAAACTAATGTCTACACAAAACCCTGCACACAATGTTTTACAGCAGCTTTATTTGTGGTGCCAAAACTTGGGAGCAACTAAGGTGCCCTTCTGTAGGTGAACGAATAAACTGGTACATCCAGATAGTGGAATATTATTCAGTGTTAAAAAGAAATGAACTATCAAACCACAAAAAGACACAGAGGAAACTTAAATGCATACTGCTCAATCCATAAGAGAAGCTAATAAACATACTGTGTGACTCCAACTCTATGACATTCTGCTTGCTTTTTTATATATATTTTCCTTTTTTTTTTAAGTTCTATTTCTTGGGGGGGGGTGATGAGGTTTATTTATTCATTTATTCTTTAGAAGTACTGAGGATTGAACCCAGGACCTGGTGCATGTTAAGCGTGTGCTCTAACACTTGAGCTATCCTCTTCCCCCACACCAGCTCTGACATTCTGGAGAAGACAAAACTATAAAGACAGTAAACAGATCAAGGTTTTGGGGGTTGGGGGGAATGAATAGGCAGAGCACAGGATTTTTAGGGCAGTGAAACTATGCTATATGACACTGTAATGGTGAATTCATGTCATTATATGCTTGTCCACAGAATGTACAACACCGAGAGGGAACCCTGATGTAAACTATGGACTCCAGGTGAAAATGATGTGTCCATGGAGGTTCACTGATTATAACAAACGGGATGTTGATAGCGCGAGGGGAAGGCGGGGTGGCCGTGGGGTGGAGGGGGCTGTGCGTGTGCGGGAACAGAGGGTATATGGGAACTCTCTGTATTTTCTACTTAATTTTGTTGGGTACCTAAAAACATAAAGTCAACTAAAATATACACAAGAAATACAGAGAAAAAAGAAAGTATAGCTTATAATTCTGTAAACTTGAAGATCAGGGAAAAAAATGTTAATATGGTTGAATCTTGGGATATACATGGATGTTCAATCTCCTATCCTTCCCACTGCTCCCTGCTAGAAATCTGAGAGGGGGGAAAAAGAGGTTTAGGATTCATTAGGAAAAAGAAAGCAGAACATAGAAAGAATCAATTTAAAGTTTGTAAGAGTTCATTCAGAAAAAACAATATTGCTCATTTTTGACCAATTGTCATTAACAAAATTAAATAACTCTGTAACCACATTTAAACCGCACGTAAGTTCTCAACATTATCTTTAAAAGAGTTGCTGTTTAGAGTAACCATAAAATTATGAGATTTAAAAAATAAGAAGTAAGGCGAGCACTGATACTAGAAAACAGTGGTTTCTGAAGGACATTTCAGATAGAGATCATATTGAAATGCTTAATCAAGGGCATTTAAATCCTATAAAAAGTATCTATCAAGATGAAACAACTTCAGTCGCAAGGGAAGTTACTTAGCGCCAACTGGGAAAGAAAGAACCTTGTGAACTATTTAAAAGTCCTGAGAAGAAAGACACAGATCACCCCTAACTTCCATAACAGGTTTAACAGCAAGAGAGTTTACAAACGTCTAACAAAAAAGAAATTTTATGACCATCGTCCTTTGAAAAATAAAAAGCTGAATTTCTGACCTAAATTCAATACACATGGAAAGGAATGCTGCACTAGGAAGAGGGGTGGGGGCAGCGCAAGTAACGCATACAGGATCCACCTGGATCCTTTTTAATTAAAAAATTCTAAACATTCCAGGCATATCTCTAAACCAGTGAGGCCAGTGTCTTTGGATTTGCTGTATAAAGGACATTTGCCTTCTTCCTCCAACCAAAGGTTCACACAAAGGTTAAGATTTGTTTGTTATCCAAACAAGTACGCAGCCCACTTCGCACGCTGCTGTGGTCGCCAAAAGCGCTTGATCTCCGGGCAGGCCCACCAGCTCCCAAGGCCCGGGCCTCGCCCGTTATTCCGGCCCAGTCGCCGGCGCGGAGCCGGTGCCCAGGGTTCGGGCGGCCTCCACTAGACGGGCGGGTCCACCCACGCAGGAAGGCCGAGGCCTGAGGGCCACTCGGAAGAGCTCCGGGGGGCGACCGTCGCCCTCCCCCTCCCGGGCTGCACCCGCCTTCCCGAACCGGCGTGTAGGGAACAGCGAGGACGCAGGGTTCAGTGACTACTAATGTGGGGGGCACCACGAACCACTGCTGCAGCCCCCCGACCGGCCTCAGGGTCCTCACTGGCTGCGCGGCCCTGGCCTCACCTGCGCACCCCTACCTGTGCGCCTCT